AAGTACACACTGAGAACATAGCGTTCTGGCGTTCGTGTAGGCACTCACGGTGTTAAGGGACGGTGGTTTAGGTTTGTGTGGCGAACGACAATCACCCAACGACCGACGCTCACAACTTGATCCCAACATTTACTAAAAGCAATATTATAGTTATATAACTTTTCAGATGTTTTTAATTCAGTATTTTTTCAATATCTTCTAAAATTCAACCACTATATTTCCCTAAAAATCAAATAATACCGGTTTTATGTATTTCCGTATTAATCCTGTAGTCAATTCATGTTCCAGGGCCACTTGGTTTAGCCGTGCATTATCAGCCAATATACCATGGATTGCATATGCAAATTTTGTGTTTGGACCAATCAAATCAATGGATTAACACCATCAATATACTGGTATAATATAATAAGTGATATATCATGATCTATTATAGAATGTTGGGTGAAGAAGACTGTCTTGTTGGATCTCCCAAAGCTGTTCGTTTTGGAGGAGAAGTAACTGATGTACTTCGAAAGTACAATGAGGTATGTGTATTTATTATGATTATCAACATTTCCTCTGTATCCTAATGTAGTGGGCCACTTTTACGAATTTTAAACAATTTGTCAAGCTTCACTAACATGAAATAAAATGCTTATCTCTGTACTCTCTCTTGTAATTGTATAATTATGAAGCAGCAGAAGGGCCGTGATTGCATTTTTAGATATGTTTTCCTTTTAATTTGGTGCCTTAAAATTACACTGATCAGTTAATGCTTTGTGATAGGCATGAAATGTACATAATTGGGGGTACTAGTATTTAACGCAAGAGTCATCAACTGGGCATACAGCAATCCTCGGGCGGAGCTACGTCACAAGACGTTCCACGTTGCTAAGACGCACACCACTGTACCACGTATTTCTATGGGCTCTGTGCACGCTGCTGAGGAACGCGGGAAAACAACAGGAACTCAACTTTGAAGTAATCCTGAACAATCAAATTTATATGAGTTACACACACAGGGGTAATCTTGTTACACTGTTCAGGGGAGTCTCAACAACCATCCCAAAGATTTCTGAGAGTTTTCACCGTGATGGTTGCCATGTGGTGAAAATGCCTGGATGTCCGCCCCGAGAATTGGCCATATCATGTCATTATTTTCAAACAAGCATCTATAAGCTTTCACAGGTGATGATCCCTCCACTTTAAAACTAGTTGAGTTGAAACCACTAATCAAGTAATTTTTTTCATCACAGGGTTGTCATAAAGATTATGATCTTCTGACACTACAGTTAGCTGATCCAGACATAAAGGTGAGTTTTAAAATTCTCCTACCTAGGTTTCTATATATTTATTTTAACATAATCAGATAAGTTTTCTAATTTGCTGCTTGTTTAACATTATTGGAAAACCAAAACTTGATCAATTTTTTGAATTATTTAATGAAACATACAACTTTCAGACAAATATTTCTGGAATTGTTTCTGAAATTGATGTATTTAGAATAATAGCAACTAAAACCTAATGATTTAAATGGAATTGAAGTGTCTTACTTCTGTAACCTCACAATATTATCCTACCAATTTTATTTATGTTGGTAGTAGAAATTGAATTAATGATTTTTCCAATTTATCAATTTACACCTGCCACAAAAACTGAACTTTTAGTAACATATTCATCTTCACAGGAACTCTATTATATAAAATAAGGTACTGTCTGCACATGAATAAATTATATCTATGCAGGGTATTTGTGTACAACATGATATTGTGTATGAATATTGATTGTAGCTAAACATGCTGTTTTTCTTTTCTTTCCTAGCCAAACAGTCTAATTTGTTGGCTGAAAGAATTAAAAGGATGCGTCTCTCATCTCTCAAGAGAGTTTGAAAGTCTAGTAGCAGTTCTACTGGTAAGTGCAAATAGAGACACCACTGTACAGAATGAAATCATTGTAAGAAAACTTAGCATAAACTATTGTGTATTGTAAAACACTTCAATTAGGTTATAAGAATATTTGAGATTCTGAAAAATCATGACATTTTGGTGCATTGCAGTTTTCTTTTGCAGGGGAACCACATTGTCTTTCTTGATATAGTCTTTGTAGTTATTTTCTATGTGTGTACTGGTGGATGATTAGTGACAGATAATCACTGTGATACTGTTTCATGCATTGCTTGTTCGTGATTCATTTCTTTTCTATCAGTGGACTGCGTTTAGTAATGTACTTGTCAATTGTGTAACTGATTCACCCCCTAATTTGATACATGTAAGCTGTAAGCAGCTGAAGTTGATATATGTATTCAGCAATAACATAGTGGTTGTTGGATCAGTGTTGTGATGGGATTCCAAGTATAAGTCATACCTGAGACAGAACACTGAAAAGGGTCAACCTCCCAACCCTAAGTGTGTGTGCTCCGATGGGGGAGGCCATACACTGTAGCTACTGGCTGAGAGTCATTCACAAACAGATTCAAACTTTATTGAATCTTGGTTAATACTATAGGTGCTTGAGTTTTGACCACACCAGGTTGTCACCAGGATAACACATTAACTTGCTATAATGCATGATTATGACAGCAAGATGGTTCACAGTCGCATCACGTAGTCTCAAACACATGGAATATGGTTTTTGTGGAACAATGTACTATATGGACCATCAGCACTTCATTGTGCACATAAAAAAAAGAGACAATGGTGATGTTCAATGTCAGGAAATGTCGCGGGGCATAATAATATTTAAAAAACAAAAAAGACTTTGTATAATTATGCAAGTTCTTTGTATCTTTGATTATGATGATTCATTTTCACCGCATTTTTACCTATTTTCTATTCCTTGTAGAAAATAGAATGGGTGGATAAAGATGACAGTATTGCTGCTGAGTACATATCTCTACTGACTCACCTTGTATCGGCGCAAACGTTCTATCTACGAGCTGTTCTGAGAATGTTGATTAAACATTTTATGCCAAGTAAGAATAATAAATTCTATTGATCATTTTATTGTGCACTTTGGAAACATGTCCTGTATATAACAGGGCTTTTGTATTTTCAGGGCACCCATTTCAAGGCAAAAATTTCAAAAAACTTTGAACTGATTAAAATAGACTATCGAAATTCCCCTTGGCCTAATGGTTTTATTTTGATGTCAACTCAAATCATTTAATAAAATGCCACAATGTGTTTGCAAAATGCCAATTATAGGCTGCTACACCATCACTTGCCACTGTAGAGAAATTTTCCTGTAATGTATGTGTACGCTACATCAAGATGATTGATAGGTAGAATGACCTCATGAAATAACTAATTGCAAGTCACAGGGGAAAATGCAATATTTACTTGCACATCCTAAAAGTGGACTAACATTTACTTGCACTGTCTTTGCAATGACAAACTTGATGGAGATTGATTATTAGACAGTAAATAGGAAATGTCAGAACAAGATATTTGAATAAACACTTGTGTGACATTTAAAATCCCTTAATTTGACATTTTAATCCAGATGATGCATACCGGTAATTTATAGAGGGGAGGGACTGTTAACAGTCTTTGATTGAAATTGTTATGAAAGTACTTAAGAGCTTCACAGGTGAGGTAATTGCCTCTGTGAGTTTCAAACAGTGTTATAGGCTTTAAAGCCATGTAACAAGTTCTGATTTAATAACTTGTCAATTAGGAAAATCAATATGTTACAACAATATCTGCATACATGTATCAAGCACAATACAGATGCATGTACAGTGTTGGTACAATCTTGGTGGATTTTATAAATGATAAGTTTAATTAGAACAGTAAAATTATCAACATCTCATTGCTGTCTTTGATTTGTTTTAAGTTTACCAAACTAACCTCCAAATGATTAGCCATACAAGACATGTACAGGTTGAAAGATATTTCAGTTATCAAGAGAAAACAAAATTGTTTATCACTGGCAAGTCATTGCATATCATTAGTCTAATGACATAGACATATAAAGTTACACATGGCACCATTGAATAGCATTTTCTCATTCTTGATCAACAAACAATGTCACCATAGTGACCTGTGAATGGTCTAGTTACTCCACATCAATACTTCCATATTTTGCTCCTTGCTTGAAAAGACAAGAGATAACATTTCATGTCATTATTACCTTATCTGTTATGTGCAGATTCAAGATACAGCATGTCAATTGTACAGTTACAAATAGTTTCAGATGAAAAATCACATGGGTGCTATGATATACATGTCAACAATGCATTTTCAGTTGCTATATTGTTTTTAGTTCCCGTTCGGACGAAGTCCGAAAACTGGGACTTATAATTCGATCGCTGTCAGTCCGTCCGGGGTAATATTTCAGAATCCTTTGGACCGATTCTGTTCATTCTTTGCATGTGTCTAGTACTTTATGTTGGACATGTGCACATGCAGTGGTTTAGCGATACGATTCAAAATGGCCGACTGGCAGCCATCTTGTTTTTTGAAAATGTTGTATTTTGGACATGCTTTGTCAGTTTTCATTCAAACTTGGTACATAGATTATACATGTTAGGATACATGTTCATGACAATTGCTTTCGCAATTGAATCAAAGATTGTCGACTGGCAGGCATCTTTTTTTTTTTTTTAAACATTTACATGTTAGGATACATGTCCATGACAATTTTTTAGCTCCGCTGTCGACTTTGTCGAGCGGAGCTTATCATATGATTGTCCGTCATCCATGTCAATGTTTTACTTTTTAGCTCCGCTGTCGACTTTGTCGAGCGGAGCTTATCATATGAGTGATTGTCCATCGTCGTCCGTGTCAATG